ACTAAAGTATTTAAAGGTAAAAGAGAATGATGTCTGCAACTTACAGATGAAAAAATAGTAGATAAATAGCCCTGGCCGGTTTGGATCAGCGGTTAGAGCGTCGGCCTGCAGTCCAGAGAGATCCGGGTTGGGTTCCTGCTAAGGGCATGTACCTCGGTTGCAGTTTGTCCCCGGCCCCGGTTGGGGTCGTGTGGGTGGCAGCCAGTCGATGTGTCTCTCTCACATTAATGTTTCTCTATCTCTCTTCCTCCCTCTTCCCTCCCACTCTATCTGAAGATAAATGCAAAAATGTCCTCGGGTGAAGATAAAAAGAATAGATAGATATGGGTAGAGTATATATAGGTTTTTAGGATACTATTTTTGCAAATTTCTATAACTTTGAAATATTTCTAAATTTAAAACTTTTAAAAATATGGATACTAAAATAATACATTTAAAGAGCGTGGATTATACCCTGGCTGATTTGGCTCAGCGGTTAAAGCGTTGGCCCGCAGACCAAAGAGTCAAGGGTTCCATTATGGTCAAGGGCACATACCTCCGTTACTGTTTGTCACCAGCCCTGGTCGGAGTTGTGTGGGAGGCAACCAGTCAATGTATCCCTCTCACATGGATGTTTCTCTCTCCCGCCCTCCCTCCCACTCTATCTGAAGATAAATAGAAAAATATCCTCGGGTGAGGATTAAAAAAAAATTTTTTTTTTAAAGTGTGGATTACTAAGAAACAAAAATAACCACAGTATTATTATCACAGCAACAAAAACAATAATTCTTTAATGACATCAAATATTATAGTCAGCATTCAAATTTGGTCTTTTTTTTTAAAAAAACAATTTGTTCAAACTACTCTAAAAAAGGTTCATACAGTACAATTACTATTTCCTCAGATTTCATTTAAGCGACAGCTTTCCCTTCCTCCCCTTCTTTCCTTCTTGCTATCGCTACAAGAACGTGTTGAAGCCGTCTGTCTGACACAGTCCCCACAGCCCGAGGTTCGACGATTTCATTCCTTTGTGCTGTTCTACATGATCTCAGAGATTTCTTGTGAGTTGCTACTTATAACTAGAAACTTGTCAGATTCAGATTCCCTTTTTGTTGTTGTTAATTAGTTGACATTTCATATTTTTTATAGGAAATTCCTGATTTTGGCTTCATTGGAAAATTACAGACCTGGCATTCCCAACTGGCAACAATCGGTCTAGGGCTGGGTGGTGACCATCCCCACTCCCTGTTTAGGTGGAACACGGACTGTCCTGTGGGTCCCAGTTCACATGAGTTCCTGCCTGGCTCCCACAGGCCTGAAGTTGACACCCTATTCTAAACACTGCCTTTTCCAGGGTGTTGGTAGACTTCTCAACACAGCATCACAAGAGACCTTTCAGGATCGTGGTAGAGATTGGAGAAAATGATTCAGACCAGCACTTTCTTAACATGCTTGAAGGGAAAGAGATAAGCAGCCACATCAGGGAAGTCCAAGTGATAGAATCTGTGCCCAGGATGAGGGAAAGAGAAGAAAAGTAAAACTATAAATTGAGTGCTGCAAATATGAGAGGCAGAAAGAGTTATGGATTCCTAACCCATGGTGGGGAACAAAGAAAGCAAGTGGGTTTAATAGAGACAAGACTTATTTACATCTGTGTATATATTATGATAATATTGAAACCTTAAAAAAGAAAGAAGGGGGGCAATACATGTGTAATTGGTCAATAGTTCTAATTTTAAAAAGTGCAGGCAGGCAGTTGAAGCATAACAGAAAATTGTGGGGATTGACAGAAATGAGGCAGAAAGCAAGAAAAGCCTGGAAAGGATCAGGAGCCACGCTGTGGAGATGGTGAAAAATCGGTAGAAACATAAGGAGAGAAGAGAGAATTTTGAAAGTCTTAGGTGTTTTATTTTTGTGATTAGCAAACGTATTAAAATGAAAATGATCGTAAAGCTATAGAAAAAGAAATCACATGTAGTTGTTTTGAAAAGAATAAACCTTTCCAGAAAAGAATAAAATTATGACAAGTTGGGACGTTCCTGGAAATTTCCAGATAGTTCCCCATAATCAGAAGAATGATTAAGAGAGAGAATCTTCAACTGGTTATAAGGAAGGGTGGAAAATTCTGAAGGACAGGCTGATTATGTAAGTTTTAGGCTGTGGTGGTTAAAACTGTTGCCATTATATTTTCGTTATTAATAACAATTTGGGGGAATCTATTGGCTTCTGGAGATACATTTAGCTCTAATAAGAAAGAAATGCCACTGTTTGTGAATTCCCAAGTGGATGTAAGGAGCCATTCATTTGCTAAGCCTCTTAGGAAAGCCAGAGCCGATTTCACCCTTAACAAGCTGTTGACAGCTTCTGATCAAGGTACCACCTTGGAACATGTTAGCAGCACAGAAAGTGGAGTGTGGAGTCAGACCTGTGTTTAAATCCCTTTATGTCAGTCACCATGTGACCCTGGCAGCTTACCCATGGAAAATTTCTAGGGTGTAAATGTCGCTTTACACACAGAACCTATGATTCTTACCGCTTGGACTGTGGGAATTCAGAGCTCTGAATACTTAACTTCCAGCTCTAAGAGCCACAACTGCTTACACATACAGAGCACTTACTATGTGCCAGGCACTACTGTAGATGCTTCTTGTGTTATCCTGTTCAATCATCAAAAAGCCCTATGAGGTAAGTGTAGTATTAAAACTAGCCCCATTTTACGGATGAGGAAACCAAGGCTCAGGGAAGTTGAGTAATTTGCCTGAAGTTACATAGTGAGTGACTTTGTAAGCAACAACGCTGGGCTTTAAACCCAGACAGACAAAATCCAAAGGCCAAATTATTTTGTGCTACCACTTCCCACCTTCCAATCTCAGGGAAGCAGAGAAAGCAATGTCCTTGGCTCCTAATTCATGTGCCTCAGTTTTGTTGGAGGTTGGAATGATTTTTAATTTTTTTTCTTTATTGACTTGAGAGAGAGAGAGGAAGAGAGAGGGAGAGAGAGATAGAAACATCTATGAGAGAGAGCATTGATCAGCTGCTTCCTGCATGCCCCCCACTGGGGATTTGGCCCACAACCTGGGCATGTGCTCCGACCGGGAACGAACCAGCGACCTCTTGGTGCATGGGTCGATGCTCAACCACTGAGCCACACCAGCTGGGCTGGAATAATTTTTTATTTCCCAAAAGCCTCAGTGAAAACAAGTAAACTTGCAATCAGACCGCAATTTTCTTTAGGTTGGAATCCACAATTAACAGTGGGTTAGCTCAAGTTTTGTAGAAGCTCTGATTGGTATTTACATATACAAAAACACTGCAGGGTCATTTTTCTAAGTGGGAAGATGAATCATTAGTTAAGAAATGCAATTTAGTGGAATAGATCTTTTTAAATATGTGGCCTAAGGAGAGAAGAAAGAGTCCTTGGCTTTGAAGAGGCTAGGAGCTGCTAGTGCACATGTGTGTGCATGTTGCCCAACCTGCCAGCCTTCAAAACCCTGCATTTATTTATTTACTTACTTACTTACTTTTGAGGTCTGGTGATAATATTTATTTGTGGCACCAAACCCTGCCTTTATTTTGAAATTTCATGATCCTTTAATTTGACTTTGAGGCAGTCTATTTTCCCTTCAAAAAAGGTTTATTGGTTTTGTATTTAATATCAGAATCTGCGTTATTCCTCAAAATGATCACGTTCTTAAAACATGGTCAAGAACTGGGATACAGAATTGCAAACATGTACTCCAAGCTAAAAACAGGATGTAAGTCATGCATAGAACAGACTTTCTATCCTAAGTTGTTATCTGGGAGTGAATCTTTTCTGAAGTCAAATTTAAAATAAGACTCATTCTACCAAAACACAGGACACATGGATGGGTTTTTAAAAACAAGCAAACGAAACCTGGACATTAGTGCACTTGGCCATAGCTCCCCAAGTTTGTGGCAGGCCTCAGTAAACACTTTTCCAATGAGCGGTCCCTAGCAGGTAGTCAGTAGCCTTTATTTAAGGAAGAAAACTGAGCTTTTTGCGTGAAATCTTTTTTATACCACGCGTGGAAAATCTATCTAGGCCTCTCCAGACAGCCCGGGGAAAGCGCAGGTAGACAGCCCTAGTCCTGAGAATTTGATTAAATTAAAACTGCACTTGACTTTCTCGGAATCCTGCCTCTCTCCAATGCGCAGGGTTTGGATGCTGTCTGGAATACGGGTCTGGGACCCTGGAACCGTCCTGCGGGCCCAGGCCTTACTCTGAGTGACTGGACTCTGGCGGTAGACCCCTAACCGGGTTGTCCTTCCGCAGGTTCTGAGCTGTTTTCCCTGGAGAGGGTGGAGGCGGAGGCCGCTGTCCGCTTGGTGACGTCTGGGGCGCGCGGGGCCGTCGTGGGCGCCCCGGGGTCCCGCCGCTGCCCTCCCAGGGCCTCGTCCAGGGCGCGGCGAGCCCCCTGGAGCACCGGCCCACGGGGCAGAGGGTCCGGCCGACCTCCTCCCGGACGGGCTGCGGCCAGTGCCCCGCGCCGGGGGCGGGCCGGGCTGGCAGAGCCCAGCCGCCGGCGTCCATTTTCTGGGCGGTGCTGTGCGGCGCAGCGGCGGGCCTGGCGGGTCCGGAAGCGCCATGGACCCCCGGGGAAACGCGCTCGCGGCGGCGGAGTCGAACCCTGTAAGTGCCAGTCGCAGGGTCTGTGTGCGTGGCTGGTGGGCGAGGCGCGGCCGGTTGCGGCCATCTCTCCCCGCGGGGAGTATCGAAAGCTGGCGGGGGAGCCCGGCGCAGGGCTGTGAGCTCCGCCAGCGCTGGAGAGCCGAGCTGCTGCAGCGCCCGCGCGCCCGCAGGTGCCCGGGCTCGGGGCCTGCGCCGGCCGGGGAGGGGGCTGCACTGCAGAGTCGGGCAGGTTGCACCGCATCTAGTGGCCCAACTGCGCAGCTGTGCTGGAGGGCGGGGGCGGGGGAGAAATGCGCACCCAAGGGACGTTCTGGGCTCAGGTCCAACAGGCTCCGGCGCTACCCTGACAGTCGCACCTTCCCATCCCCAGACTGCGACTCGGACCCCAGTCCTGACCCTGCGGAAACCTGATGATTTCCCTGGTTCAACACCAAGCCCCTGGAATTGAATGGAAAATGCAAAGGCATGGCCCTGCCCCCAGGGGGTTACAATCCCAGCCTCCTACTTCTGCAGTATAGTCCGGTCTGCTCAGTTGGTCCAGCACAACCGCCTGCTGTTAGCCACTTCTTTGCAGGGTATATAATAATCACCTTAGATTTTAGTCCATCCACGATTCCACTTTGTACCTCCTGCTCTGCCGTAGGTAAGTGACTAATTCCATTCTGGGCTCTGGCCCTAATTGAATATCCGCTTTTAAAGATTCCTTATAGATGATATGCGTTATGGTGCTTTATACATATTTTAACGGTTAAAGACTTTTCTCCTAATTAGAAAGCTCAACTACTCGGGCAGGTTCTCATGGTTGAAAAGCATAGGTGGATTTAGTGCATGATTTCAGAGAAACTTTTAGTGAGGTGCTATAGCTAAATGTAGTGTTTTTCCAGTGGTGAAGGGACCCATTAGAAGATAGTGAAATCAGTTTAGTGAGTTACTACTGGAGTTTTTAAAAAGGTATAGAATGTATAATGCAATGTAGAAAAGAATCGAATCGAATAGAAAATATCAGAATGCATTGTACACAGAGTAAGCATTGCTTTGATGTTTTGAAATTTGGGGGTTGTTTACATAATTTTTAAAAACGATGGGTTACTGCCAAAAAGTTTTTAAAACTGTGACTTACAGGTTAATAATCCAGGCTTTGGAATCAACTGAACCTGGGGTTAAGTCCCAGATCTAACATCACCTCGTTGTGTGACCTTGAGCATATTCCATGACCTCTCAGCGTCTCTTAGTATAGCTGTAAAGTAGCGGAATGTCTCCTAATATTTGAGGGTTATTATGAAGACTATATGAGGTCACATGTCAGTCACTTTGCTCAGTGCTTGACTTATAGTAGGTGTTCAATACACATGCTACTTGTAATTACTGTTGTTGTGGCAACATCAGATCCTGGCAACTAGTCTTGAGACACTGTGCTTCTCTGTTCTGTTCCTTTTTAGACCTTGATGTGGAAGAGATGGAGGACTCAGAACCAAGGATTTCTGAGTGATTTCTCCCGGAGCACGAGAAACAAACGTTGTTAAGGCGGTCCGTTCTACCTGAGGTAACTGGGTTGCGTGTGTCCTTAGTCTACATGAAAGAGGAAATGGCTTTTCTAAGGGACTGAAGGACTCCCGGGGGGCATATGGTTTGTGCCAGTGATCCACCAGGTTTGGGGATTGCAAAGTGACAGTGACATTTAAGCGAACTGTTATTAAGGAGGCATGGTGCAAGAGGCCTCCGTGATGAGGGTGAACTAAGCTAATGGGGCTCCAGGACAACTGGTTTCTTGTTTCCGTTCTGCCAGTGACTGTCATGGCAACTCCTGTGCGTCTCTTTATAGATCGCTAACTTCTCCAAGCTGGAAGGGCCGACAGACATCACTGAGGCCCAGAGAGTTTAAATGACTCTTCAGGGTGACCAAGTGCACTGGGATAGAGGCAGGCCTGACACCTGGTTCGGATTGCTTAGTCATGCAACCAGCCTCCGGGCCTGCTGTGAGGTGCGAACAGCACTAGGCACTGAGAGTAAAGTGCGAAGAGCCCACTTGCAATTTGTGCAGACAAGTACTGACAGCTCAGTCCATTAAACACTACCTTTGAGGCATATCCAAAGCCCCAGATGCCGATTGCAGCAACTACCATTTATTATCAAGCACATGTGTGCGCGCGCATGCACATAAGGCAGTGTGTTCCGGGATTAAGTGTTGTATTTTTATTTATTTCTCACAAGCGAAGGATTAAAATGTGAAAATGCACAGGCAGTTCATGAAGGTCTTTGCATCTCATACTACATTTGTGGTGCACATTCTGTATGCACAGCACAGTGCTAGGCCCACCAAGTGTGAGGGAGAGTGCTTGCCCTGGGGGAGCTTGCAGCCTAACCTCCAAAGAGGGAAGTCAGACAGGCAGCGCCCGACAGTCACCCCTCCTGCACCTGCTTCCGCAGCCAGAGTGGGATCTGTCCCAGGAAGAGTTAACATATCATGGTTCTTGCCCTCAGTGTACCCCCCTTTTGTTTTCAAATTTAATATATCCTTCCATCTATCTATAAAAACTTATGCTTTCAATTTACAAACAATAGGAAGAACTTCTCTGAAATCATTCATTTATTTGTCATTCCACAAATGTTTATCGAGCTCCTCCAAGGCACTTGGGTATTCAAGACCAAACATAGCACCACGTTTTCACCATCATGATATTAGTCTTATTCAGTCTCTTGGAAAGGATTCATCATTCAACAGTTAGAGATTTAAAAAAAAATTTTTTTTCTTTATTGCTTTTAGAGAGAGAGGAAGTAGAGGGAAAGAGAGATAGAAACATCGATGAGAGAGAACATCAATTGGCCGCCTCCTGCAAGGCCCCCACTGGGAATTGGGCCCACAATCTGGGCCTGTGCCCTGACCGGGAATTGAACTGGCAACCTCTTGGTGCATGGGTCAATGCTTAACCACTGAGCCACGCTGGCTGGGTGATAGAGATTTTTTTATTGTTAACATGCTAGACTACCAGCTCCAAGGATGTTGGAGACTGATCCATAAATAGGATTCCAACTGGATATACAAGAAAATCTTTTTTTTTTTTAGTCATACAATCTTCAGAAAGGAATTTTTTCTCTTTTACATTTTGGTTTTGCCATTACTGTCATCTGCTTATAGAGGCCTTTTATTTGTACACTTAACCTGTACCCAGAGAGAAAAACCAGTTTGGCAAGTAGGCTTTTTTTTGACGCAAAATGCTCTTTTTTAGCTTTGGAGGCCACACAGCACTAGGAGTATTCAAAGTAAAGCAATTTAAGAGATACTTTAATTTAAAGGTACAAAGGTAGAGAGAGTGCCAGTAATTGCATTAAGCAACAGAAATCAGATTGTGAGTCTTGAATGCTACTTGGAATACACTTAAGCTCCAACTGGAACAAATGAGACGCTGAATGTCCATGTGCTCTGCAAACTTTGAGGAGTCCTGTAAATGTTATGCAGCAAATCTTGACTGAGTAACTTCCAGCAGTGTGCCAGTGTTCGAGAGAACGGACATCCAACAGCAAAAAGATCTGCTTCCTTCCCTCTCAGACCCTGTTCTGTAGGTGAGGAAATAAAATACGAAATAACTGTATGGTAAATGCCCTGAAAGATATTTTGGTAATTTGAAGAGGAAGAGGTCCCCTTTCCCTCTAGGAGTCAGGGGACTCTTTTTTTTTTTTTTTTTTGTTGTTGAGAATAAACATTTCAGCAAGCCCTTGAAGGACGTGGAGTTCTCATCAGAGAGATGAGGAGGAGGCATCTGAGGTCGGAGAAGTGGCAGGAAGACAGGAAAGCGTGGAGCACATTCCGTGAAAGGTAGTAGCCCAGTTGAGTTAGAACTGGTCTATACGGGCATCTAGTGGGAAATGAAACCATAGAACATTTGGTGCCAAATGATGCTGGTCTTGAATGCCAAGCTGGAAAGATGAAGGCACTATCCAGTAGGAGACACTGAAGATATCTGGACAGAGGAGTAGTATGGCTGCTCTTTAGGAGTGTGCTCTTGTGGTGGCTCATGGGGAGGGGAGGAGGCAGGGCAGACACCAGAGACAAGGAGACCAGTTAGAAAGTTCCCACAGTCCACCAAGGAAAACGGTGGGAGGAAGGCCCGAAATGGGTAGGAGAAGTGAAATGGGAAAGGAATAGATGCAAAGGGAAGAATTGACACCATCTGACACCTGTAGAGAAGGAATAGCTAACGCCGACATATTTCCAGAGCAGTGGTACCCATGAAAGAAGGTTGGAAGGAGGTGAAGGGCTGAGTTTGAAGTGTTGAAGTATGACACCCCCAGACAGTTGGGGACTTTGAGCTCCAGAGGAAGGCTGGGGCTACTCTCTGAGTCCTTGGGATATAAACAAGTCGAGAGTTAGGAGAAGAGATTTTTCAGAACGAGAATATGTGGAGGCAGAGGTTGAGGATGGAGCTTTACGAGAAAAGAAAGAAGAACCTAGGGAGGATCTAGAGAGAATTTTTGGCAATAGAGCAAGGAAGAACCATAAGAGACCACGACTCCAGAAGCCAGCCGAAGGGGAGTTCCCAGGGGAGGGGACCTAGAGTGTCAGATGCTGGAGGGGTCAGGGGAGGCCCAGGGCGGTCATTGGATTGACAGATGCTAGATCAAATGTTTGTTGGTGTTTTCCTTTGTAAGATAATATGACTACAGAATGAATATTAAGATATTTCATTTGCAAAAATTTGTAGCTTGCGCAAATCAAGAATCACTGTGTATTCGACCCTAGCAAGCTTCAAAACACACTTCTGATTACTAAAATGCAGGCTGTTATAGGTGGTTTTGATAGTAGTCATGCCCTTTATTCTGTTGTCAGCAGATGGACCAAAGAATATTTGTTGATATTGGAAGTTCTTTAAAAACTACACTTCTGTTGATGCAAAACGTTTCTAAAAATAATTTAATTCCTTTGCCTTTTTACCATATGGCTATCTTATGACATGAGTGTGTGTATGAGTGTGCGTGTGTGTTTTCATAGGCATATGAGCTTAATACAATGGAATGAGAAGACCGGGGTCAGATAAATCTAGTTTCACAACTGCGCCGGGCCATATTCCAGGCTTGTGACTTCAGAAAACTCACTCTCCGTCTAAGCCTAACTTTTTCCATCCATAACTCAAATAAGATTATTTTGAAGATTGAGTAATATGTAATTTAGTCAAGATCTATACTATACTAGACAATTAATAAATGTTGATCCCCTTCCCGATTACCTTGTGTGCGTATGTAAATGTCTACGTCGTGCATCTAGACACAAAGCCTTATCTTTATGACTCGTTTTTAATGTGTTAGTTTTATCATAGAAAGCGCATACCTCCCACTATAGCTAAGCTCTCCTGTGATCATTCAAGTGACTTGCAGTTTAATATGGGTGAGACTCAACCTGGGGAGCTTACTGAGATGTAGATTCCCAGACCCCTGGCGCAGAGGCTCTAATTCAGTAGAGCTGGGGTGGGGCCTCTGGGAATCTCCATTGCAAACAGTCACTGCTGTGACGAAGATGAACACATGCCAGTTGCTAGGAAGGGATCAACTTGAGACTTGATAGGCTGATTTCAAACCCAGTTTCTGGTAGAGCCACATCTATGCTCAAAAGTTTGATATTTGTATCAATAAACATTGCTTATAGATTATATTTTTAACAAGATAAAAACAAACGGATCCCAGAAAATCAAGGAATGGTGGTTTTATCGTGCCCACTTTCGCTGTCTGCGGTGCATCCACAGCAGTACTGGGCAACACGCAGCCCCCAACTCAGCTGCTTTTCCTGGGGAATGTGTGGCGAGGCCTTCTCCCTATGCTAAGAGTTTGCAAAGCCAGTAACTATAAATGTTGTTACAGGTAGTGTATTTAATGGCAGCAACATTGTACAGTCATGCCATTAAAACATTTTAGTGCATTTATCTGTCTGACTCTGTGTCTTCTGGTCGATAAACATCTGTCATTTTATTGTATTTCCCTCATTCTCTGCATCTTGGAATCATGTAGTTTTCAGGCTAGTTCATGTTGTTCATCTATCCCAACCTCATTTTATAGATGAGAAAATAATTTATCCTTCTTTTCCCTAGTCCTAGCTCTCTGCTTATTCACAAGCAAAGACGGAGACATGCATACGTTTGGTGTTTAAGCTATGTGTGGAGAATAGAAAACCTATTTACTTGTATATATTGAACTGTGTTTTATGTTCCTTGTACATACTTTAAAAATCAGATGACTGAACAGGAATGTATTAATTAAGGCCATACTGAGTCATTTTATAATGTTGTTGGCATTCCATTGATGGTTTGCGTCTCTTGGAAGAGGATGCCAATGGCCTGGACCTTTCCCTAGGAACAGGGTTTCTCTGTCTATACCCGTAGCTCCCCAGAGGATAAAGACAGACTGACTTTCATGTCCGTTCTATACTTTATGTGCATTATCTCAGCCATCTCATTAGACGCTCAAAATAACCTGGTGTGGTGGACTTGAGGCAAAGAGGCTCAGTGATGCAGCCAGTGTTGTACATTTCTCACACCCTGGGTCCTGTCTGACTCC